TTCATAGTTTCAGAACTTTTTTTTTCTTTTTTTTCGAGTTTCGATTTTGATAAAGAAAAAGTTTCTGTCGATTTCTCAATTCATTTACTCATATGAAACAATAACCAATGATAATATCATGATAATATAGATGATTACAAGTCAATTGTTTTGATTGTTTATCATGATCATCATCATTATCATGATTTGATTGTAATGATTATCATGAAAGTTTAAGCATTCAAGCAAAAATTGAAAATGATTGAAATAAATGATGTTAAGTGTACATATTCATACATCTATTGTATCAATCATTTAGATTGTCACAATTTAGATTATGTATTAAAAGATGATGATTGTCAACTATGAGACTCATATGTATCTCATGAGAATAGATATAAGGTCATCCTTCATCATTTGAAAGTTCCAAGTTCTGGAAAATATTCAAACTTTCCGAAAGCAAGTGAAAGAAAACAAGGAAAAAAAAAATATGAATTCAAATGATGATGTTAATGGTAGGAGAAAATTTCGGTCCATTGATTTTTACCATAAGATGATTACTTTTTGATTCGATAACAAAGTAACCAATATGATTACGGAACTTTTTTCTTACTAGATTAAATTCATCATCATCATGAACTCAGAGGGGTTTGGATAAACATGAGATTGTTTCAGAGTATAAATATGAACCATTATCATGATAAGAATATGAAATATATAGTCTACACATGGAAATGTATTTCTTTGTACATTATTTAAGTTGAAAGTTTCATTCAGATCTCAGAATTCATGAATATACACCAGAATAGAATGAGATTAAATATGAAAGGAGGAGTTGAAGAAAGGGAGGGATTTTCATCATCATCATCATCATCATCATCTCTCTCTCTCTCTCTCTCTCTCTTTCTGTGTTTATCAATTGATTCTGAAGCTTCATCTTCACATAGATAATCATTATCTTTATCTTCATATTAATACAATCACAATTTGCCCTTAGGGGTCACGAGTTATTATCAGGTAGTTAACTTTATGGACTCTCAGTGTGAAAGGTAAACAAGTAACAATCGCCGATTCTAATCCAACCCTTGAGATGAAGGAGGTGGAAGATGATTATGATGATAAGATGAAGATGAAGATGATTATCTGATGATGATAAAGGGAAGGTGTGAATGGAAATAAAGAAAAAGGAAGTTATGAAAAAGAAAAGGAAATCGATTAGAAAATTGATTCTAAAATAAATGTTCAACTTTTTTTTTCTCCACCTCGAACTAACCAGTTGATCAAGTTAAATGATTTCTAATTGTTACAATTTTCAATTGAATGTTTAACACTCTATTCAAATTGATTGTTATGTATGAATACAACAATCAACTGTGACAATTACCTTTTGAATGGTAAATAAATTTAACCATTCAATTTAAATCAGTATTCAAGTTTTACCATTCATTGTGAGTGTATATCAATTATTGTCATATTAACTTACAATCAACTTTTCTAAACGGTAACAATTAACTAAATCATTGGTTTCTATAACTAACTAATAGCATTTACCTTTTTTCTTAACAATCTTGACAGATTGAATAGTTAATCAAATTTAAATCAAATTAAATTGTCCTTTAGTAGTTTACACTTCCGTTGGTGGTTAATTTTACATAGAGTAATAAATGTTAATCAAATTATCATTTAATCATTAATCAAATTTTCAATTTAAAGGATTCTATTGAGAGAGAGCAAAATAATTTAAATATTACATCAACTAATTGTTATAATTTACTTAATTGTCATAAGCTAATGGCTGATTATTGACTCTCCGTTTTGAATAATTTTGATATTCTGTTAGTTAAGTTAATTGTTACTGGTGATGATGATGATGATGATACAACTAAATGATCAGAGTGAACACAATTAAATGTAATTGTATTTACAAAAACTCTACTGGACTCAAGTCATTAGTTTAATTGCCCATTAATTGCTAATTGTTGGTGATTTCAGTTTCAAATCTCCTTAGGGATAAACGGGAACAACAATCAACTACCGATTATATAACAAACTGAAAAAAAGGACAATCAAGTCAATTGTTATTGATGATAAGTATTAAATCATCATCTCTCAAGAGTCTATCATCATCATCATCATCATCATCATCTCGTCATCTTGATCATCATAATGATAATCAGCTCATCACCTTTATTTTCAAGTGTAAATTAGATTAAAATTGTCACCATAAAGATCGAGGGAGTGGGAAAAAAAATCCTCCTAAGTAAATGTTCCCACTCTCCTCCTTTTCCACCCACTCCCATAGACATTATTGGATTAATATCTAAAAGGTAGAGAGAGAGAGGGAGAGAAAAGTTAATCAATTTTAAATTGTATCTTCCAACAATTAAATTAACCTCACGAACTTTGATTTAAGATGATTTGTCGTTATTTTATTTGCTTGTTTAACTTGTTAAAGTTTTGTTTTTGTTGTTGTTTGATTTAGTTTGATAAATGGATAATCAATTTTGATTACAATCAAGAGTCACAATTTTTTGATTGGTTTAAAGGTTTTTAATCTGATAGAAAGACAACAATTTAAATCATTTTCATGTTGATTTATCATTCTCATAATTTAACTTAATCAGGTTACTAAAGTTTCAATGTTTCTGTCAAGTAGACAAAAGTTAACCATCAACAATTGTTTAACAATATTTCATTAAATTTTAATTTAGAATAAGTTAATTGCTCCTTATAATCAACAATTTATTCAATATCCTGTTAAGTTACCATGGTAATAATGATTTGATTCCAAGATTACAAATTAAATTGTTATTATTACAATTTGATTATTTCCATGATAATTTTTATTGTTACTCTATTTAAGATTAACTATTATAATGAAACTGTTAAAGTTAATTGGCTCGCAATCAGAATCTTAATTGTCTGAATAAAACAAAAAAGTTCTGACCTGAAATGTTGATGATAAAAGGAAAGTAAGAGCAAAAAGAGAGGGAAGAAAAATTATCTTCATCTTCATCTTCCTCTTTCTTTTTCTATATTAACAGTTTCATCTTAATGATATTGATGATGAAGATGAAGATGATGAGGATGGAGATGATAAAAAGCCCTATAAATACAAGGTACATGATGAGAGAGAGAGAGAGAGAGAGAGAGATGATAAAATTGATTGAGCATCTTCACAATTGAATCTTAATTTGATTCTGGTCATTGATATGATTAACATGATAATCAAGCAAACGAACCATTTGGATAGTTAATTGTTTGAGGTGAAAACAATTTCCATCCCTAATCACAACTTAATCATTTGACAAACTCTAATAATCGGGTTAATAATAATCAGATTGATTGAATCAATTTGTTTCATCATTATCTTGATTAGTTAAATTTAATTTCCAACTCAATCAAATTTACAATCCCAACTAAAGTCACGAATCAAATATTAGTAATCCTAATTGTTTTAAATATCTTTATTATTATTACAGTTTAATCATAATGGTTAACAAAATTGACATTAATCTATCTGATTTACTATTGATTATCTTATCATGATAATTAATTGAACCAATTTAATTGTCTAACAAACCAATTAATTTAATTGTGTGTGTATACACTTTGTTTTTCATCATCATCATCATCATCATTAGTAACAATTAGTTACTGATTTATTAACATTTAGCTTATTAATAGCTACGAAATCAACATCATTAATCAATTGAACTTTAATCAACATGATTTAGTTACCAGTTGATTTAGGTGGTAAATCGTTGCTGATTAGTTAATTTAATTTACGAATTGTTTGTTGTCAACAATTAGATTAAATTTTATATTTACTTGATTCTTTTTCCCTTTTCCTTTGATTAATCAACATTAACTCTCGCGATTAAAACAATTGATTGTTATTTAAATCAACCCAAATGGGTCAATATTTTTTTCCCTCTTATTTAATCATCATGATTGAAATGATTATCATGGAAATGACTGAGATGATTATCATCATAATCAAGAAGATGATTTGTCCTCGAGTGGAAATGTTTTATTTTCCAGTGACTTTTTATACTTGTCATTAGATTAACATGATTACAATGATAAAGTTAATCTAATTTAACAGTCGGTTTCATTTGGAACTGTCAGAAGGCCTAATATTGAAACTAAATCAACCTAAATTACAATGATTTAAGTTTTTACAATTAGATTAACTAACTATGGATAGAAAGAGAGACTGAGAAAAAGGGAAAATATATTAATAATAAACATTAATGATTCCAATCATTTTACAAATTGATCATCACAATTACAACATAATTCTGGTAATTTAATAATCTCATAATAATTGGACCAAAGTGATAACTTTAAATCTTAAATAATTCACAATTTATTGATCATTATCCAAGTTTCGATTAATTTAATTTTCTTACCAAATTGTTTTCCATCATTAACATTGACAATTAACGGTAACATTTTCCCATTGGAAAATTAAACAATCGAGGAAACTTTTTTCTTCTAATTGATTATCATTTATTAATCGTATCTAAAATTATTAATTATCAAGAGTTTGAATCATTTAATTGGTTCAATGTCCAGATTGGTCAATCAAATTAATTAACGAATGTTACACATGTCATGCCATCTATTGGGAGAGAATGAAAATTCAATGAAAATTGTTGAATTTTCATTTTGATTAACTTTTTGTTTTCCTGATTAAATTGGACAATTAATTAATCGTCGGTGATATGAAATAAATTGATCTCGATTACTGATTGAATATCCTACATTTTCACCCGAAATTCAAATAATCACAAGAAAGAATCTTGAATAATTAAGTTTATTAATTCTTCTTCTCTTCAATAACAATTATTATTATTGTCGTTGTGATAAATTAATTGTCAACTCAATTTAATGTTAATAAGAATTAATTATCTATGGTTAATTACGTCTAATTGTTACTTATGTTTATGATCATGTTTACAATTTTTTCCACTGTAATTTCAATTAGTATATAAATGGAAGTCATTCCTGGTCTATTACCCTTGAAGTTTAATCGGGAGACAATTAGTTAATTACGAGTTTACCTTTTGTACCTTTTTCTAAGGTTAAACAGTTATGTTAATCAACGTAACGAGTTAATTGTACAACGAAAAGACAAAGATAATCATATGAATTTAATTATCTTTTCGTTTTATAATCAATAAATTTGGCTCAATTGTCTTGAATCATGATTGACGCGAGATCGTCAAGTTTAATTGTTTGAAGTGAATAACATTGGGAATTTAATTAACACAGTTAACGAAGTTAATGAGAGTTACAATTAAGTAAATTGTTTGGACATTTTTGTTTTCGGTGTTGTGTTCAATTGCAAATGGATTTTAAACTCAATCTTGCACAGAAAAGACAATCAAATGAGGTGAGTTTAATTGTTCCTCTATTAGTTAATCACTTTGAATCAACATTCACATGTAAATGTTAAATTGTTACAATTAACGCTATCATTTCAAACTCATTTCGTTTAAAAACTTCAATGTTTATTTAAAGTTAATTTGATTGTTTCAAGTGTCTCTCTCATTGTAAATGTCACTGTTGATTTGAAACAATTTGTGAGACAGACTTAATTATCAAGTAAATTGTTGTTATTTTCATCTGATAATTTCAATTAAGTTTTTTGTTAGAATGAAAAATCATCATTATCAATATCATTGTCAACGACAATTGGATTTCTCATTTCATTCATAAGAAATGCTTGTGTTTGATTTGTTCATGAACAACAATTTAGTTCATGGTTGTAAGTTAACAATAATTTCAGTGATTAACTTTCTGATTAAAAGTAGCAAGTTTGCATAAATCTATCATCATCATCATCATCATGAATATGGATAAGATAAGGTGGATTTTTCGATTAAGCTTCAAGGATTCTATGAGATGTTGTGGTATCAAAAAATTCAGTTTAAAATCCAACAAAACGGAAAAATGGTCCAAAAACGGTCTAAGTGGCCGATCAAATGAGAAAGAGAAAGTGAGTGAGTGAGTGAGAGAGAAGCATGGGTCTCAAACAAACAAACTTTCTTCCGAAATTTTGTTGAATTGATCTAGATAATTGATGAATTTGATGATCGATTGTGTAATTTGGGATTAGACTTTGTTGATGATTAATTAATTGATCATTAATTAACAGGAAAGATTCAAGAAAATTGTACCAGTTAAACATGGGTTGACAGTATTAACGACGGTCTTGTTTGTCGCCGGTGAAAATGCTGGAGCCGGAATTTTGGCCTTACCATATACACTTAACGGAACCGGATGGTTGGGAGTTCCATTGATGATAATGATCTGTATTGATGCGACAATTTCTGCCACGTTGATTGGTAAATGTTGGATAATCCTGGAGGAACGTTGGCCGGAATATCGAGTTCAATGTCGCAACCCTTACCCAGAGATCGGTAAAATGGCTTTTGGAAAGAAAATGGGGTAAGTTTGATCTCTTATTTAACCATCATGTTAATTGAAGACTTTTATTCATTGTCCAGATCTCTAGTCACTTGGCTTGTTCAAATTGCATCAATTGGATCGGCTGTTGTTATGCTTTTGGTTTGCTCACAATTAGTATCCGATTTGATTGATCGGTCACATACACTTTCTTATGGTGTTTGGATTGTTCTTATCGCTGTGGTCATTTGTCCACTCATGTGGCTTGGTACACCAGTTGAATTTTGGGGAGCTGCCGCTTTAGCATTGGGCACATCGACCATCGCAGTTATTTTATTACTTATTGATATGGTCAAAGATCTGAAAGCTTTGGAAACTAGTCCTCAGGTATCGGCACCAACAGCCACATCAATTTCTCTTGCCTTTGGTACTTTTATGTTTGCCTATGGAGGTACAGCTCCATTTCCAACTTATCAAAATGACATGAAAGAAAAAGATAAATGGCCTCAAGCGGTCATCATGGGATTCATTAGTTAGTATAAGAAATACAAATAAGAACCTTAAACAATACAACTAACCAATTTTATTAATTTTCTTTCTTGCAAGTTCTGTTCGTATTGTTTACCCCATTTGCGATTATTGGTTATCTTGCCTATGGTTCATCGGTTTCGAATAATATTATTCATTCAGTTCGACCTGGTCTAAAACGCGATATTGTCACAATTCTAATGGCTGGACATCTTTTCTTTGCCTTCTTATTGATGATCAATCCATCGGTCCAAGACATTGAGAATAAGATTAAAGCTCAAAGAAGTGAGTTAAAGCTGAGATCAAAAATCACTTATGAAATCAGTTAAACATTATAACGAATGCCAATTAAATCAATCAATTAATTTGCATACATTAAGATAGTCTAATCATACAAATCAGATAAACCGTTATGGTTAATGAGCTTATTTTAAGTACTCAAGTCTTGACTTTTCTTGATCAGAACAAGTTGAAAACTTAAACAATCAATAGATGGTTAATTCAATTGATTAAAATCAATGTACATGTAATTTAAGTTATTATCAAAATACCTTAAACGTTAATAGTGACAAACTATTAACCGATATTTGACCTTTGTAACAGCATTTAACTGGAAACGAGTCGCAGTCCGAATCACGATGTTACTTGTATGCGTTTTTATCGGTGAGTCGATTCCTCGATTCGGAAAAGTAATGGACCTTCTTGGTGGATCCATAATGACCTGTTTAGCTTATATATTTCCACCATCTTTTTTCATCGCACTGTCATCGAAGACCAGTCCTTTATGGCCTGACAGGTAAACTTTATTTGAGATTTTCACGATTTTTAAACTTTAGTTTGAAACGTTTTATTTTCTTCCCTCCAGGCGAATATCATTCTGGGCTCGATGTTACTATTATAAGATCATTCTGATGGGTATTATCGGAGGTATTTGTGCGACAACTTCAGCAATTTACGCAATAGTTTCTCCGGATGCATTTGTATCACCCTGTTACATTGATTTCGATTGTACCTACGAATCTCGAAGTAGTTTGACCATTGGTACGAACTTGAGTTCCAATATTTTCAACATCTCATCACCATTGACAATCATTAACCAATAGATTGAAACTTTTGTAGTAATAATAATTGGCTCAATCTTTTTGTATCTGTTTATTATTTCTGTGATATTATTCAATTGTAAGGTGATTAACAAATTGTCATCAACAATTAACAAAATGTAAAACTTTTTCTGCTCAAAAAACAAACAGGCAAAATACTGAATCAAATATGATCATTCACTTTAAAAGTGTTTGTGAATATTAACTTGATTAATTAATTGTAATATTATAAGTTGACGCCATTTAATACCAATTAAAGTTAGAATTAAGAACAAAACAATTAATATATTAATCATACATCTTAATCATGTATGTCAATGGGTTTTGGTAAAACAATTAACTAAATAAAGTGCACGACAAAAGTTTAGCAATTTAGTAAAATCTCAAACAAAGGTCTAGTGTGAAAGGTTTTAGTGTAATTTCATAGGTAATCTGAATGAAGAAATAATAAAATCCATAACAATTCAGGCAAATACTAATTAGACATTGAATCAACGCTACAATTAAGAAAAAGTAATTGTACCAATAAACAATTTACTGACAACATTTTCAGAAAGAAACTTATCTTTGAATTATTATGAGAATCAGTATACCTGTAGAGTTACAAGTTTATTAAGAATATCGTTGATTGTGATGGAAACTGAATCAAAATTAACTATGAAAGTGGCAATTTCCAATCATCAATATCGATACTTTTTGGTATATATCTTATCCGTTATCTGTTTGATTCGGCTACGTTTTTGGCTCAAAATTGCACACTTTAAGCTGTTTTTGGCTCACGATTACAGCTACTAATGGTAAAACAAAAATGGAGCCAAAAGCCGAAGCCGAGAAAAAATCATAAGTTTGATAGTCCAAGAGTCCATGATAATAAGTAAATTGTAGCATTGAATTACCAAGAAGATATTGATCAAGGAAACAATTTCCAATGACTAACCTGAAATATTTAATATCCGATATTTCGAGAGGACGAACCGATAAACTATCAATGTAAACTTCAGCATCTCTTTTACCAGTGGATTTCAGGTAATCAATATAATAATCAACAAATCACCTGAATTTTCAAATCATCATTGTTAATCATGATCAATGATTTGTATATGTAACCAGCAGAGGATTAGGTTACAATGTACTTGCTGCTGCTTTTTATATGTATACAAATTTGCATCTAAAAATAAAGTGAAACAAATTATTGATATTTATTGAAATTTGCGATTATCTGTAAGATTAATTTGGTTAATTCAATTGTGATTATAATTTAACCAAAAATACAAAGTATATGTACAATTATTTATTCACAAATTAGTCAAATATGCTCATTTGTATCAATATAAATGTGATAACTTGTTTTCCTTTCCAATGATTAGATTAATCCTCACACTCCATGGGTGTTATAAGTGAAAACATGATAAAAACTCAGGTAATTGGTTGATTATTGATATCAATTACCAGTAAAGGTGACACCGATAATTACACCTTTTTGATTTTTGATATCAATTCTATTTAAAAGTCGAAAAATTAACGAACCCAAACCAATTAACGAACTTAGTTCTGGTGTAATTGGTTGATCATAATTATTTAAAGTATCCAAGTTTCATTTGAAGATCTTCACTCAATTCAAGTTAATATGTTCAGTAATTTAACTCGTTCGCAGTTGGTTAATATTATCATCGGGGTCGTTGGTATTTTGGGAACAACGATCGTTATTTGTACCGTTATTTCAACAAGAAATACATCACCGAGCTCTGGAAAATCGGGTAAGTCAATTGAAATGAGAAATTTATGTTAATACCTAATTGATTGGTCACTTTATGATTCAGATAAACTTGAAGTATTACCTTCAGCTGGAACTGGCTGGAAACTATTCGAGGTTGGGTCAGTGTTACCGGGCAATGCATTCGTTGGTGGTAGTAATAGTGATGGAAGGTCAATCTATGTGTGTCGGGTAAATTCAACGATATCGGTTGAGCTTTTACCAGGAATGTATGATCCAGCTCAAGGAGCTTGTCAGATTACTTATGGAGGAAAAGTTTATAGCTATGCTAAGTTTGACCTTTTAATTACAAATGACCCTTCGTCTCTGGTTTGGTTGAGTAATAAGAATGGTGAAGCTTCATTGGGCAGTATTGTCGGTGGACTATCGGATCGTAATGATGAACTTCATATAGCAAGAGCGAGGGTTTCGGAACAAGGTCAAACAATCGGTAAGGTACATGGACGACACGCGAAAGCTTATGTACCCTTTGAAGGGAAAGAAACGGAAATGATCTCATATGAAGTACTTTGTAGTTTTGATTATACATTATAATATAAATTGATTTAATTTTCGGTTAACAATCTTACAGATAATCGACAATTTTAATAAATATCAATAGTTTATATCGGTTTATTTTTAGCGTAAAATTTTGCAACCATATAAAATCAGTAGCAAGTACATTGTGATCTGATTCTTATGGGTTCATATGCAAATCATTGATGGTGTTTAAAACATTAAGTGACTTGATTAATAGCACACCGAGTTGGTCGGGAAAATTTCTCGAGGGATCATTTATCGGCCGTAAATTAGTCCACGTTAAACTGCTTGGATTGAGGCGATAACTTAATTCAATTTAAGAAACTGATTGATTTCGATTGCAATACTTACAATTCTCGAAGTAGTTTAACCATTAGGACGAACTTAAGTTCAAATATCTTTTAACATATTGTCATCTTTGACAATCACTAATCAATAGATTAAAATTGTTGAAGTGATAGTACACATTTTCAATTGTAAGATGTGCAAGAAATACAATCACTGATTAGTTAATTAACTCGAATCGGTTTAATTTGATTGTTTTCATTTTCTTTTGTGAGGGAAAACGTTTTAATTTCCCATACTGATTTGTGATTGAATAAAAATGAAAATGAAACAATTGAACAATCAGTAGTAAATTAATCTCGCGTTGATTGCATAATGTCAATTCACTGGTAATCTGGTAATATAACAAAATTCATGAAAATTCCGGTAAAGATTGAATTGACATCATATATTTCAATGAGTAAATGTAAATCAATTTAATCATCTTGATGAAATATAATCAAATCTTTATGTTAATTTTTTTTGATGATGACCGTTTTGTCCTTTCCTCCATTAAGGAGGTTAAAGTATTAGCAATTAGTTCATTATGATCGTGTTCATGTTCGTGTTCATCATGGTTATGTGTAGATTCACGAGTTTCCATGTAGTGGTCATAATTTTCCTGAATTTCGGGAATCATATGAACAAAACAAGTAGCCAAAAGGACACCACCACCAAAGACCAGTAAAAGTTGTAGTATTTTATTAGCGGTAGAACTTGAATTATTTGTTCCATCCTGTTGATTGTTTTCTTTTTTCTTTTTCCACAGATTAAACACCAGAACGGGTCCAAGACCAGCGACCATTGTAAGTCCGAAAAGAGCGAAAATGGCAACGACACGGGCACCGGTTACACTCATAGTCAATTATGTAATTAAATCTCTGAGCTGAAGAGAAAGGAACACAAATAGTTGAGAGAAAAAGGAGAGAAAATGGAAAAAGTTGAACAGGTAAAAAATGAAACAATCAACTAATCATTAACTTTACCCTTACAGTAAAGCTCAGTGAGTAAGGTAAATTTAAATCATCTTTGTAAATTATAATAACATCTTTATTTGAATTTTATTTAATTGTATTAATACTTGATCAAAGGTGAGATGAGGTGAGTTAAGTCTTGGTGACACTTGGATTAGAGATTATAACTGATTGACTATTGAGACAATTTGATCATTTTCTTTCTTGAGTAATTTATTGGTCAGTTAATCGCCATCGCTAACCAGAGTTGTCATGAGAGTCATTAATATGAATCCAAGTATCAAAGCTGCCAATTGATAGAGACCATTCACTTCACGGCATCGATCTGCTTGGAGGATTTCGAGGAAAACAATGTACAAAATGGCACCAGTGGCAACAGCATTTAACAGAATCAGTGTTAAACTGCCATCTTCCGTTAGACCATCTTCAATGATGATTGATAAAACTATACCGATGGGAGACATGGCGGAAAAGATGGCTACATGAATCGCCGTTAATAAAAGACTACCGGTTTTCTCAAACAGCTCGAAGCCGATGGCGAAAACTACTACGAGTTTATGAAGACAAATAGCAAAGAATATGGTCCAAACGGAGGTTGTTGTACTTTGGAGGCCAATCGCGATTCCATCAAAAACGGCATGAGCCAGAAAAGCTACTACAATGATCAGTCCTCGAAGGAATCGTGTCCAAACTCCTTCAAATTTAATGGAATTAGCAAAATTATTTGAGTTACTTTCAGCATGACCAACGTTCAGAGTCACCCCGTTATTACCGAGATTGTCTTCGTTTTCTCTTTTGGTTATATTCAACGAAATGTTATGATTATGTGAATCACGTCCAATCAACAATACAACTGATTCTTCAATTGCATAAGTCAAAAATATCCCGATACAGATACAGATTTCCACCCATGGAGCTCCATCATCATCATCATCATCATCGTCGTCTTTATCATCGCCATTTTCACTATGAGTCGGATGTTGATAGATCATTCCTTCAGATAAGTTTATTGGACTAATTGTCGTTGGTTTATCATCGGAGTGTTTATGAGCTGCCATGTATTTATCGTAATTTTCCTGAATTTCGGGAATCATGTGAACAAAACAAGTAGCCAAAAGAACACCACCACCAAAGACCAATAAGAGATGTAGAATTTTATCATTTCTTGCTTTTTGTTTTCGTCTCTCATCTTGAGAATCAAGCAAATTCGACTCTTGTTTTTTCTTCCATAAACTGAATCCAAAAACAGGACCGAATCCTGCCAACATTGTGACCCCGAAAAGGGCAAACAAAGCAACAACACGAGCTTCACCAACAGCCATACTAAATCTCAATCGAAATCGAAACAAAATAAAAAAAGATGAAACAAAAAATCAAAGCAATCCAATTACTATTTATAAATAATCTATTAATTTGATACAAACTAACAGTAAATCACTGATTTTTACAACTTCAATTGTCAACAATTGATTAACAACTGAATTTTACATCGAATGGAAATCCATTTAAATACCTACGATAAAATAATCTACAAACAAAACCATCAAGATACCGTTACATCAATTCCCCATCGATAATATTAAACAATCAAATTCATATTTCATTGATTATTTCGTAAAATCTGATTGAATATCTGGATATTTATCGTGTATATATTGTTACATCAATTAATTAGTCATAATGATCGCTTAATTTGGGTAATAATATTTTTGATCGATTCTTTTATTTTAATAATTTAATTAAACAATCAATCGTATGAAAAAAATAAGAAATTTGCTTGTTGGTTATATTTATTGATTACACTCGTTCATGATAATCTTGCACCTACGTTACTATAATTAACTTAATTAATTGCCACGTGATATCACTTGTAACGATTTTCATATTCCCCATAGACTTGACATTGAGTATGGTCTTAACAGAATCACTTTGTCGCAATCAACAATTAACCGACAGAAATGAGTTAGATTAAATCTCTTGTCAAATGTGATCGATTGTTATACTAATCAAGCCAATCAGTAAATTGGTTCAACAACAATTAACCAGAAACCTTTGGCTTTTGATCATTTTTAATGTTCCTGAAAAATAATCAATCCAATTGATTTTGATACAAAGTAACAAAAAAAACACTGATTAACAATTGAAATTTGAACTATCGATCAACAATTAAAGTTTACATTTATTGGAAATTAATCTTTCGATGTAAATCAAATCAAGATACAGTTACATTAATTTACCATAGATTATGCTCTTGAGCAACTTGTTATTTAGTTCTAATCACTAATATGATAAATTATCTAATTAATGATAATCTTATTAGAAGAGTAAATGAATAGATAATAAATCGTAATCGTACTCTCTCAAATCCTCAACAACCACTACAATTTATATTGTCAATATACTCCTACAATTTAATCACCAATTAACCTTGAGATCGACCTGATTAAGGGAAAAAGTTAAGTCAATCAACTGGATTGAACATCGAAGGCAAATTTATCAATAATTGTTGTTGGAAACAGTTTAGTTAAATATTTAGCAATTGGATAATCTGGTTGATCACTAATGACCTCCGTCCGTGCATATTGATAGTGTTTTATTAATAATTGTGTCGATTTCAATAAGCAAGAGTTAATTGTTGGGTGATAAAAGTTAATTTACTTTACACGTAGAGTGACAATGAAAATGTAATTGTAAAGGTGATAGTCCAAATTGATACAATGTTAACCGTTACAATCTAATCAATTTCTCATTGAAATCATCAGAATGTAAGTGTTATCGTAGTTAAAACAATGAAGTGGTGATCAAAGTACAGTTACAATTAAAAGAGACAAAAAAAACATCACTTTTAGTGTTAATTAAATTGTTGGAATAATTTAAAAATTGATCAAGTTGATTGGATGCTAATGACCAATGTCACAATTGAAAGGAAGATCTCTAATAATCAAGGACAGAAATTGGAAACAATTAAGAAATAGTTATGAAAATTAACTTGATTTTCTTTAATTGCACAAAAAATACAATCACTGATTAGTTAATTCACTCGAATTGGTTTAATTTGATTGTTTTCTTTTTCTTTTTGGAGGGAAAAAGGATAATCAGCTGAGAAATATTCTTATGATTAGTAAGAATTTTTTGTTCAAGTTTTTCAAGTTAATTATTTGATTAAGTGTCAAAGTAATTAAAAGTGTGAAAAATTTAATAGTCCAGATTGATCAAAATGAAACAATTTAAAAACAATCAAAAGTAAATAAATCTCACGTTGATTAGATAATGTTAATTCACGAGTAATCAGGATGGAGGAAAACAAAACTCATAACAATCTAGGTAAAGATTAAATTGTAATTAAATCAACGCTACAATTAAGAAAAGGTAATTGTATTAACAAACAGTTTGCGGAAGACTTTATCCGAGAGAGAGACTTATCTTTGTATGGGCATCAGTGTATACGTGTAGAAATATTGATCTGAGTAAGAATATCGTTAATTAAGAATATGATTAATATTGATTATATTTCCATTTTCAATTTTCGATTAGCCGATTGAACATCGATACTTTTTTCATATCGTATCCTTTATCTGTTGGATTTGTTTACTTTTTTGAGAGCAAATTTCAAATGGAGAGAAGATTGATTGTTCAAGTTAATTGTTTCTGATTAATTTAGTCCAATTAACTTGCGATCATATTAGACGCTGTAAATGGTTTGGATAATTAGTAATATTTGAATTTTATTTAATTGTATTAATACTTGATCAAGGTGAGTTAAGTCTTGTTGACACTTAGATTAGAGATAATAACTGATTGACTATTGAGACAATTTGATCATTTTCTTTCTTGAGTAATTTATTGGTCAGTTAATCGCCATCGCTAACCAGAGTTGTCATGAGAGTCATTAATATGAATCCAAGTATCAAAGCTGCCAATTGATAGAGACCATTCACTTCACGGCATCGATCTGCTTGGAGGATTTCGAGGAAAACAATGTACAAAATGGCACCAGTGGCAACAGCGTTTAATAGAATCAGTGTTAAACTACCATCTTCCGTTAGACCATCTTCAATGATGATTGATAAAACTATACCGATGGGAGACATGGCGGAAAAGATGGCTACATGAATCGCCGTTAATAAAAGACTACCGGTTTTCTCAAACAGCTCGAAGCCGATGGCGAAAACTACTACAAGTTTATGAAGACAAATAGCAAAGAATATGGTCCAAACGGAGGTTGTTGTACTTTGGAGGCCAATCGCGATTCCATCAAAAACGGCATGAGCCAGAAAAGCTACTACAATGATCAGTCCTCGAAGGAATCGTGTCCAAACTCCTTCAAATTTAATGGAATTAGCAAAATTATATGAATTACTCGATGATTCAACACCACCGTTATCGTTGCCTCTTTCCATTCCTATTTTATGAAGATTCACAGAGTTGTGACCATGATTATGAGATTCACGTCCAATCAATAATACAACTGATTCTTCAATTGCATAAGTCAAAAATATCCCGATACAGATACAGATTTCCACCCATGGAGCTCCATCATCATCATCATCATCATCGTCGTCTTTATCATCGCCATTTTCACTATGAGTCGGATGTTGATAGATCATTCCTTCAGATAAGTTTATTGGACTAATTGTCGTTGGTTTATCATCGGAGTGTTTATGAGCTGCCATGTATTTATCGTAATTTTCCTGAATTTCGGGAATCATGTGAACAAAACAAGTAGCCAAAAGAACACCACCACCAAAGACCAATAAGAGATGTAGAATTTTATCATTTCTTGCTTTTTGTTTTCGTCTCTCGTCTTGAGAATCAAGCAAATTCGACTCTTGTTTTTTCTTCCATAAACTGAATCCAAAAACGGGACCGAATCCTGCCAACATTGTGACCCCGAAAAGGGCAAACAAAGCAACAACACGAGCTTCACCAACAGCCATACTAAATCTCAATCGAAACCAAAACACAGCAAAAATAGGATCAACAAAAAAATAAAATAATCGACCCAATTAACTTGTCAATTTGATACAAACAACAGTAAATCACTGATTTTGCAAATTCAATTGTCAGCTATTGATACATAACTGTATTTTAAATTAGTCTGAAACTCATTTAAATACACCTACGAGGATGAATCATACATCAATTTCCCATCGATAATATTAAACAATCAAATTCATATTTCATTGATTATTTCGTAAAATCTGATTGAATTTTTTGATATTTATTACAAAGTGTTACAACAATCAATCAGTTATAAAGAGTGGTTAATTTCAATGTAATTGTTTTATCAATTTATTGTAAATGAAAAAGGTGTTGATTGATTAACTTTCACAGAGAAATCATATAATATTGGTGTGATTTTGTCAACTAAGTCAAATTATCTATCAATTGAAATAAAACAATAAACTTAATTGAAATTGATAAATTCTATCGGCTTTATTAGTATACATGTAATTAATCACTAATACTTTGCTTCTCATTGTAAACTAATTGCAATTAGAAACAACTTAAGACTAATGAAAGAAAATTAACTAATAGCTCATTAATGGATATGTACAAGTTGATGTAACAATTTGATACTAATATCATTAACTATTAATTAGATCGATCTTATATTTAGTAAAAAATTAAAGTTCGAGATTAAAATTAAACTAAGTAAACTTTTAATTGCTCGAGAATCGATAAACTCTCTCTCTCTCTCTCTCTCTCTCTCTCTCTCTCTGGACCTCTTTTCATCTTTTTCCAATATGAATCTTAAACTCAAAAGTAATTAATTAATATATGGAAATTTGAGTAATTATTCAATGAAAAGTATCTCCGAGTAAGTCGAATCGTTATCCCGATAATTAATATAATAAGAATTAAAATCATGGATAATTCAACTTACAATTAGATTAATCTTTCTCCTCTAATTTTCTCATATTCTTAACTGCTACAATTTATATTGACAATCTTTATACAATTAAGAGTCAAAGGGAAAGGAAAAAGGGAAGCTGTTTAATTATTCAAATTGTAAAATGGTTAATTTCAATTGGATGCTAATTATCAGTCATGTCTAATTGTCTCCACCCAGAAATATAAGTTCAACTTTACTTAATAATTTGTTATTAATAGATTGAATATCTCAGCGATTAATTAATTAATAGTTAATCATTAGATTTTACATCTCGTAAACTCCATAGAGAAATAAATGTATAAGTTCAACTTTACTCAATCAGCTATTAATAGATTGAAAATCAAGGGAAAATTAATCAATACTTGTGATTAAAATCTATGTAGTCAAGCATTTTACCCTCGCGATCACAATTATATAGTGATCGACATTTGGTGATCGACAATGACCTGCGAATATGAATATTGATTTTTTTTAATTTTATCGACGTCAATAATTTAGAGTTAATTGTTGGGTGATAAAAGTTAATTTACTTTACACGTAGAGTAACAATGAAAATGTAATTGTTAAGGTGATAGTCCAAATTAATACAATGTTAACCGTTACAATCTAATCAATTTCTCATTGAAATCATCAGAATGTAAGTGTTATCGTAGTTAAAACAATGAAGTGGTGATCAAAGTACACTTACAATTAAAAGAGACGAAAAAAACATCACTTTTAGTGTTAATTAAATTGTTGGAATAATTTAAAAATTGATCAAGTTGATTGAATGCTAATGACCAATGTCACAATTGAAAGGAAGATCTCTAATAATCAAGGGCAGAAAATGTGAAACAATTAAGAAATAGTTATGAAATTAATTTGATTTTCTTTAATTGCACAAGAAATACAATCACTGATTAGTTAATTCGCTCGAATTGGTTTAATTTGATTGTTTTCTTTTTCTTTTTGAAGGGAAAAAGGATAATCAGCTGAGAAATATTCTGATGACTAATTAGCTAATAGTTTCGTTTCTCAATAACAATTAACGCGGTTGATCAGCTCTATCTATTAATTATCACGAGTTTGCATCATTCAATTGTTTCAATGTCCGAATTGGTCAATCAAATTAATTAACAAAAGTTACAAATGTCATGCCATTGGAAGAGAATAAAAAATCAATGAAAATTGTTGAATTTTCATTTTGATTAACTTTTTGTTTTCCTGATTAAATTGGACAATTTATTAATCGTCGGTGATATGAAATAAATTGATCTCGATTACTGATTGAATATCCTACATTTTCACCCGAAATTCAAACAATCACAAGAAAGAATCTTGAATAATTAAGTTTATTAATTCTTCAATAACAATTATTATTATTGTCGTTGTGATAAATTAATTGTCAACTCAATTTAATGTTAATAAGAATTAATTATCTATGGTTAATTACGTTTAATTGTTACTTATGTTTATGATCATGTTTACAATTTTTTTCCACTGTAATTTCAATTAGTATATAAATGGAAGTCATTCCTGGTCTATTACCCTTGAAGTTTAATCGGGAGACAATTAGTTAATTACGAATTTACCTCTTTCTTGGGTTAAAAAGTTATGCTAATCAACGTTACGAGTTAATTGTATTTATTATAATACAACGAAAAAACAAATGAATTCACATGAATTTAATTATCTTTTTGTCTGTAAACTTTAATGTTTATTTAAAGTTAATTTGATTGTTTCAAGTGTCTCTCTCATTGTCCAGATCTCTAGTCACTTGGCTTGTTCAAATTGCATCAATTGGATCGGCTGTTGTTATGCTTTTGGTTTGCTCACAATTAGTATCCGATTTGATTGATCGGTCACATACACTTTCTTATGGTGTTTGGATTGTTCTTATCGCTGTGGTCATTTGTCCACTCATGTGGCTTGGTACACCAGTTGAATTTTGGGGAGCTGCCGCTTTAGCATTGGGCACATCGACCATCACAGTTATTTTATTACTTATTGATATGATCAAAGATCTGAAAGCTTTGGAAACAAGTCCTCGGGTATCGGCACCAACGGCCACATCAATTTCTCTTGCCTTTGGTACTTTTATGTTTGCCTATGGAGGTACAGCTCCATTTCCAACTTATCAAAATGACATGAAAGAAAAAGATAAATGGCCTCAAGCGGTCATCATGGGATTCATTAGTTAGTATAAGAAATACAAATAAGAACCTTAAACAATACAACTAACCAATTTTATTAATTTTCTTTCTTGCAAGTTCTGTTCGTATTGTTTACCCCATTTGCGATTATTGGTTATCTTGCCTATGGTTCATCGGTTTCGAATAATATTATTCATTCAGTTCGACCTGGTCTAAAACGCGATATTGTCACAATTCTAATGGCTGGACATCTTTTCTTTGCCTTCTTATTGATGATCAATCCATCGGTCCAAGACATTGAGAATAAGATTAAAGCTCAAAGAAGTGAGTTAAAGCTGAGATCAAAAATCACTTATGAAATCAGTTAAACATTATAACTGATGCCAATTAAATCAATCAATTAATTTGCATACATTAAGATAGTCTAATCATACAAATCAGATAAACCATTATGGTTAATGAGCTTGTCTTAAATACTCAAGTATTGACTTTCTTCGATTAGAACAAGTTGAAAACTTAAACAATCAATAGATGGTTAATTCAATTGATTAAAATCAATGCAATTCATTGAGGCGTATTTGTATCACCCTGTTACATTGATTTTGATTGTACCTACGAACCTCGAAGTAGTTTGGCCATTAGCATGAACTTGAGTTCCAATATTTTCAACAACTCATCACCTTTAATTATTAATTATTATAATTAACCAATAACTTATTAGTAATAAGTTAAAAGTTAATAAAGATTGGTCCTTAATTGGACTTGAATAATCAATATCACTGTTAATATAAAGATAAAACAATCCAAATCATCTTTAATTAGATATGGAAGATTATTATGAAATACTGATAACAGAGATGTGAATACTAGTAATTAATTGAATAATATCGATTATTTGTTTTGATTTTTCATATTCATCAGCATCGCTCTAATCAGTGGTTTCATCAATATCTGACCAAAAGTAATTTGAGTTTTTATTTGATGATCCCTACAGATGAAAGTTGAGTACTTGCTTTGCTTTATTAGTATAATTAGTAAATTTAATTTTGGCTCTCATTGTGTGGCTGGACATGTTAAAGGACATGTCCATTTACCAATGGGGCTCGGGTTCGAATCCCGGAGTGGGATAAACTTAGGTTAGGTATCTACAGATTAGGTGGATATATCCACAAGATAATCCGACGTTTTTTTAGTAAAAAATAAACTTTAAGAACCAAGATTCCAACTACCAATCTTATTTAACTAGAACTTGACTAAAAATTATTAACTATTCATTAACTCGTTAATTGTTCATAACATGATAACAATTTTGTAACTAATCCATTTAGTTATAAGTTCTGTTGACTGATAATGATCAAAACTGATTTGTAGATATGTTTTAATCGACATTTACCAATGATAATTGAAAAACTAATTGATTACTAGGCACAATTATAAAGAAAAATATTAGAGTAATTAATTAAAGGTATTTGCAGATGAAAATATGAAATTATGTTATTAACAAAGTAAATCTCTAAGTCAACAACGATCAAGTCTAACTGTATCAATAATTAAACTGTAAACTAATTGGAATTAGAATCAGCTCAAGTTGATTGGTTGATCATTGGAAGAAAACTGATTTAGCTCATTTATCAATCAGGTGAAGTTGATGTAACAATTTGATACTATCACTTACAATTAATTAGATCTTATCTCAGAATCAATTGACTTTTTTATCTCCATCAATGTGACACTAATTAAAACCTTCTGTAGTTCATTTAACAATCAATTTTAACAATCTCTCTCACTTTCACTCTCTCACATTTTAACAACCACTACAATTTATATTGACAATATACTTCTACAATTTAATCAGTAATTAACCTTGAGACCGACCTCTTGACGGGAAAGATGAAAATCAATTAACTAGATTGAACATCAATGGAAAATTAACCAATGCTTGTGATTAAACATACATTTTACCCTAGTGAACACAATTAAGTAATCGCGTTGATCGCTAATGACCTGTGTACGTGCTAATTAATAGTGTTTAGATTGTATTGACGTCAATAAGAGTTAATTGTTAGATGATTGTTAATTAACTTTACATGTAGAGGTGCAATGAAAAGTTATCATTACAATTGTAAAGGTGATGATGATCCATATGAATACAAGATAATCAATGTATCATTGTAATTACAAGAATGTAATTGTTTATCGTGATAATAAAATGATGATCAAAGTACAGTTACAATTAAAGAAGGCAAAGAAACATCACTTTCAATATTAATTAAATTGTTGCAATATTTTAACATTGATTAAGTTGATTAGATGTTAACAATCAAGAAGAGAATCTCTAATAATCAAGGACAGAGATTGGTAACAATTAAGAAATAGTTATGAAATTAACTTAATCATATTTACCTTGACTCGAAATTCAATCACTGCAGTGATTGAATTAACTAACGAATGGTTAGTTAATTCACTCGGATTGATTTAATTTGATTGTTTTCTTTTTGGAGGGAAAAAGGTTAACCAGCTGAAAAATATTCTGATGATTAATTAGCTAATATTTTAGTTTCTCAATAACAATTAACGAGGTTGTTTATTTTTCTTTCTTTCACTAATTATTGTGTATCTAATTAGTTGATGTTTACTTGTGATAAATTGTATCTTTAATCATCAATCTGTTGATTTCTCTTGATAATCAGAAAGGGAAAAGGTCATTGAATTGAAGACCAATGAAGGGCAATGACATTTTCCAGTTACTCAATAAATTGATCATGTGGTTGTTCAGATTTTCTTTCTCTTCTTATTTAGTGAGAGAGGATAACAAGTTGATCTTGACCTTAACCCAGAGAGAGCCCTTCGGGAAGTGATCGGAGAAACGTTAATCATATTATTAGAGTGGTTTTAATCACCGATCTCAGCAAGAAGTAATCAACAGAAGCTCCGTCATGACAACAAGGCCCACAAGAAATCGGACTCAGGACAGGTATTTTTATCTTCTCTCTATCTCTTATTATGCAATAATCTTAGAGAGAGAGAGAGAGAGAGAGAGAGAGAGAGAGAGAGAGAGATGAGAGATGAGAGAAGATGATAAACTGACGGAGGGGTTTTTCTTTGAGGGTGAAAAGAAGGGCATGTTCGCAGGAGAAAAGCTGAACTGGGCTGGAGATCATTTTTGCCTTGATTTTGACAAATAATTCACGGAAGAGATTTTCTTTTGCTTCTTGTTCAAGGATCAGAGCAGGAAAGAAGATGAATTAAGGAGCCATGATGATAGAGAGTAGAAAAAGGACAACCCTGAAAGAAAAATTGTTCGTCCGCCTTGATTAATGAAGATAATGGAAGAAAAGATGACCATCTTGTTTCAATTTTCTCTTTCATTCCGGATTCTCTTCCACCCTAACATATAAAAAGACCTCGTTTCTCATGAATTTCTTCATTTTTCTTATTATATCCTAATCACTGTTTCCAATTAGAAAAAACAATTTCTCTTTCGTTCTGTGTGTGTGTATCTCAATCTCCTTATACTCTTTCAACGATGCATATCAAATACCTCATTTTGGCCTGTGTTTTCATCTTCGCCCGAATTGTCCTTGCCTCTGATTCTGCTCGACGTAAATCGGAAGAGGAAACATCCGACAATGCTCTGAACTACGATCACAAAGATGTCACCCAACGATCGGGATTCATGTCACTTATCCAAGACGGTACAGTTCCCACTTTCCTTGTAATGGGTTTAGCCACAATCGCTGCCGCTGCTTTAAGTGTAAGTGATTATTAATCTTAATCAACTGATTAAAATGCTCTTCTAATGTTACACAATCAAAGTAATAGAATGATTCTAATCTAATCTATTCTCATTTTCTGCTCTCTTTTTTTTCCTTCATTCTATCCCAATAGTCCAAAAACGAAGGTAAATTACGCGTACGACGATCAACCGACGCAAATTGGTCCAACAATTTACTCAAAATTCTCGGTAATGTTCAAAAGGCCGTTGAAAAGTACCAACAATTAGAAAACGAGATCGCTAATGAATTAGACGATGATATGGTTCGTGATTTCAATTCCAAACCAACTGAATAAATTAAATCTTTTTACTCTAATCCATCATTCAATTTTATCCCACCAATTAAAACCTTGTTATCATCAAATGTTAATTGTTTCCTAATTTAACTTTTATCATTGTTTCGCCATTGCCATAAACAAATCATATTAAACAATCAACTCAATTTCATTTACTATCAACTGATAAAGTCAATTACTACGATGAGCTTTTCATTTAATTCGTAGCTTCGTATGAACATAATTCTGTGTATAAGTGAACATTTATTTTACTTTAATTTTAGTCTTTAAACTGAAAAATGAAAGATGATTAACAATTATAAATAGAAAACGTAATTGAATTGATTAATAGCATCGAGAGAATAAATCTTTTTTTCATAATTCTCTATTCTGGACATTGGTTGATTACCGAAATTAATCATGACCATGACCAACCGAAACCGTTATGAGAGTCATTAAGATGAAACCCGACATTAAGGCCACCAGTTGAATGAGGCCATTGATTTCGGGACATCGATCGGCTTGAAGAATCTCAAGGAAAACGATGTATAAAATGCCCCCGGTGGCAACAGCGTTTAACAGTATAAGCGGTAAACTGCCATCTTCTGAAAGTCCTTGTTCAATAACGATGGACAAGAAGATACCAAGAGGTGACATGGCCGCGAAAATGGTCATATGGATAGAGGTCAGTATAAGGGAACGTGTTTTCTCAAACAGCTCAAAGCCAATGGCGAAAACAACTACGAGCTTATGAAGGCAAATGGCAAAGAACATGGTCCAAACGGAGGTTGCTGTACTTTGGAGGCCAATCGCGATTCCATCAAAAATGGAATGAGCCAGAAAAGCTACTACGATGATCAATCCTCGAAGAAATCGTGTCCAAACTCCTTCAACATGACCCGATGTCGGCTCATGATGATGACCATTAGATTGCTGGTGAAATGATGATATTACAGTTATATCATCACCTTTCAGATCAATGGCAATATTATCACAACCAACTTTACCACCATGATGATCACCATTTTCACCGGAACTATTATGTTGATGATCAATGTGGTTATGATGATTATGATGATGATGATGAGCTGAATCTCTTCCAATCAATAACAACACTGATTCTTCAATGAAATAGGTTAAAAAAAGACCTAAACAAATACAAATTTCCACCCAAGGAACAGAACCATGAGAATGTTCATCTTCACCATCATGATGAATCGGGTGTTTGTAAATATTATCACGAGAGTTTGAAGTGTTGACAATTATCTCACTTCTTTCCATTAAGGAGGTTGAAGTATTAGCAATTAGTTCATTATGATCGTGATCATGTTCATGTTCATGTTCGTGTTCATCATGGTTATGTGTAGATTCACGAGTTTCCATGTAGTGGTCATAATTTTCCTGAATTTCGGGAATCATATGAACAAAACAAGTAGCCAAAAGGACACCACCACCAAAGACCAGTAAAAGTTGTAGTATTTTATTAGCGGTAGAATTTGAATTATTTGTTCCATCCTGTTGATTGTTTTCTTTTTCTTTTCCAGATTAAACACCAGAACGGGTCCAAGACCAGCGACCATTGTAAGTCCGAAAAGAGCGAAAATGGCAACGACACGGGCACCAGTTACACTCATAGTCAATTATGTAATTAAATCTCTGAGCTGAAGAGAAAGGAACACAAATAGTTGAGAGAAAAGGAGAAAATGGAAAAAGTTGAACAGGTAAAAATGAAACAATCAACTAATCATTAACTGTACTCTTACAGTAAAGCTCAGTGAGTAAGGTAAATGTTGACTAATCTACTAAGATGTTGATGTGTTAGTTTAAATACTTCACCTGAAAGTGTCGCTAGTTACATAGAGATGTTGATAACGATTTCTATCATTTCTTTTTTACATACAAGTGAAAATTATTACAAAGGATTATATGAATTTACGATGATGATTTACAATTAACAGGGGGAACAATTAAGGGTAAGAATTTAATTCATGAGAGTTTTACAATAACTTGTAAATTAATCTTTTTCGCTTGTTTCTTTTGATTATTTTCTGATTGACTATTTGGACTTAGTACAATTAGAAACAGTTTAACTGATTAACGTAAATTGATTTATAACAAATTATTGAAAATATTTGTTGATTTCGATTACAATGACTTTGGAATGGTTAGAAAAATATATTCAATTACATTTACGTTTTGTTGTAGTTGTTGATTATCAATCGTTGGTGATCAAGTCATGAGATGGAAGTCAATTAAATGGTCAAATGTAAATAAGAAGCAATGAAAACTTTGAATATTTTAAATAGATTGTTGATTGCTGAATGAGAAAGAGATTCATGGTTATCGGATAATTTGTGCCATACGGAGGGAAAAGGCATCGGAATTATATGAACAATGGGAACTCCTCGAGCGGCGAAAGGTTTATGATCATCATCGACTCCTCCGAAACTCAGACGGTTCTTGAAATAGCTTGTAGTTGTTTTTGGTGGTTCAGGTTGTAGCAAAGATAAATCATTCAATTGTTGTTCTAGGAAAAAAAAGAGAAGAGATAAAAATTGTTAATCGAAATGAACTGATTGTGCCATTTATATTACATGTATAGCTTACCTGCACGAAGTATTTTGGCATAAAGAGGATTAGTATCGGGGAAATAGCTGTAAAATGTTGGATTAGCTGAGCCGAGAAGATCAAGTAAAACCATTACATCAATACGATCTAATTCAGAAGCAAAGTCACCCGGGCATCTCTGACGATCGGCTTGATTCTTAGGGAATCTTAACTTGTTCCATTTAGCAGCTAAATGTCGAGAGCCATAAAGAGAATCTGTGTCAGTCCATTGTTCGAATGCTTCTTCACCGTCAAAGAAGACAAACTGAAGCGTCAAATCATTATGTTCCTATGGAATAAAAAAATTAAATAAAAATGAATAAAAGGAAATACAGTTGAATATGAATAGAAAATTGAAAATATTTACCTGTTTGTGTTTAATTAAACTCGTTGAAAAATGTCGAGCAATTTCAATCATCATTGCACATGGAACCGCTGAATCAGTGGCACCAACGAATTGCCGACCAGGAAAAAGTTTAGAATCATAGTGACAGGCAAACATTAATCGACGACACGCCGATGGATTTAATGTCGCAATTATATTAACAAATGGTTTAGATCCATGAGGTGTATTGGACATGAAAGAATCTTCTTCAACTGTCCAACCAAGATCTCGCATCGAAGATTCAATGAACTATCAAGTATATAAATTCAGATCGAAAATGAATAAATAATCAAATCAAGATTAAGATTAAGATAAAAATCAACAATTTAATGAGTGATTTCCGTATTGAAAGCCACAACTTATAAATAGAAAAGGCCAAAACAATTTAATAAAATGAAACTCAATCATTTCATCTGAATAGTTTTGATGATCTCTCAGTGAATCTAATAAATGTATGTTTATCTAATAAATCAAATTAATTTATATATCTGATTGGAGTATTTGTAATGATAAAAGGTGAATGTAATTAACTTTTAATTAACTTACATATAGTATAAGAATTTAGTATGTAAATAGGTTTATAATTACATTCAGTGAGTTAATTTTACATTCATGGTGAGTTATATAAAATTAATCAATAAAACAACAACATTGATTAGTTGATTAATGTTTACCAACCAGTGAATGTTATTTGGTGGATTAACATATTATGTTTTATTAAATTGTAATCTCATAATATACATTATATATTATAAGATGTCAATGTCAATCTAATCAACACCTACACATTTACCTTAAATTATTGGGTATTTGGGGTTAGGTTAATCTATTTTTGGTTCTAATTGATTAGAGTAATAATTTAATCCATTGGATTTGTATTACTACACTGAATGTTAAGCTAAAAATAAAATATTGTTATGATTAAATTCTGGCATTTCCGTTCATCAAGTTAATTGTTGATTAATTTACACAATAAATGGTTAACTATTAAATACGATTGTTAATTTCTATCCTACTAATATTAGGTATCTAAACAATATACTAATTGTAGTGAGTGGGAGCTGTTTGTTTGATCATCATCATCATCATCATTTCAAACTAGAATGACAATTAAGTAAATAACAATTACATTATTGTCAAACGTTTATACAGATGAACAGGTAATTTATTGAATTGATTGTTAAATTGTTGCTTTTTATTATTTTCACCAGAATCAATTCAATAGTAAATAATATCAGATATAAATTAACCGGAATTATTTTTTGATTGACATTGATTGTAATGCAACAATTAACTTGACAACGAATGAAAAAAAAATTACATCTTGTTAAGGTTTTTCTTTTAGGTTAATATATATATTGTTGATTAGAAAAACACAATTAATTAGTTAATTGTGGTAATTAAATGGATAATAATAGTTACCTCTCGGACTTTTCTGTTTCCTTCTGTTCCGGAAACTCGAGGAATCATTATTTGATTCAGTGTGTAATTAAAGTAATCATGAGCTGTTGGTGAATCACTGGCGATTGAATATAATTCATTTGATTCCATGTATTTTAATTGATGATGCCACTGTAATTAGAGAATGCGATTTAATTAATTATAGTTGTGATATAATGATATATTCAAGGTAAAATAAAGGTATCAGATGAAAACAATCAATCAGATTCAATTGTTTCAGTTGAATAACATTGATTGAGAGGAAGAAAAAAATTATATTGTAAAGGGAGTTGCATTTAAAAAGTATAACTCATCTTACTTTAGATTGTGATGAAAATGATGAGAATGAAGATGAAAAGATAAAGATGATGAAGAAGATAAAGAAAAAACAAAACATAAACAAACTCAATTTGTGATCAAAGAGTAAAGAAGAAAAGACTTGAGCTCTATGAGGAAAAGAGAAGTTACAAAACATTTCTCTTTCCTCTAAATTGTTAATTGTTTAATTTTGATTGTAACTAACTCTTAATTATAATCCAATGATTAATATCTTCATTCTTATCATTTTCATCACAATCTAAAGTAAGATGGGTTATACTTTTAAACGCAACACCCTTTAAGATGATTAGTATTGTGATTTACTCTGATTAAAGATCTAAAGTTGATAATGATATTAATAGTTATATAAATTTGATTTGGTAAACAAAGTTAATTGTTACAGGAATAATTGTTAAGGTCTAATTTTATGAGGATGTAAAATGGTAACAATGAAAATAAAACAATTAAGGTCACAATAGTTTGTCCTCAAAACTAATAAATTCAATTTACTAATCATTACCCACTGAGTTTGGTAACATCATTTAACAATTGACTGTTGATTCTGATTAATATCAGGAACAAAAAACTGATTCTATTAATAATAGAGCTCATTAAATGGTCTCTTACATGTCTCTTAATTGTGAGATTCAACCTAATTTACATGAATGTAATCGAATCAAATTGAAAATATTTACTAATTTGTCGAGAAGGAGAATTACTCACAATTGGATCAGCTGTTTTTTTGGATATTTTAGTGAACTATTAATAAATTGTTGAAGAATCAAAAATTGTAACTTTCATTTCTAATCTGATATTGAAAAATTAAAGGTTGTCAACATTACCTGTTTTGGATCCCAATTAACAGCTCCAACTGGATCATTAGATACTGTATTAGTTGCTATGATTCTTATAATATTAACAAGTGACCAGAGTGAAAAATTGCCCATGATTAGATTATATGGTTGATTAAAGTTGATGATGATTTGTAAATTTTATGAAGATTAATTAACACAATAACAAAAAGGTGAGTATAATTGGTGTGAAAACATGAAGAAACAAGAAGGATAAATGACAAACTTGAAAACAATGAGAATAATTTAGTCGTTAGAATTGAATACAATTGAATTTGTATCATAAATTTCAACTGATTAATCACAATATGGAATTAGAATCAATAAAATGTCACCAAATTGTTGATAAAAAATAGCAACACGTATCCATTTGAATATAACATTAACAAGCGAAAAACATTAGATGAATACAATTGTTTAAATGTGTTGACGGGTAAACACATGAAGTCAATAAGACAACAAGTTTAACTGGTTGGCTTGATTGTAACAATTTATAGTAAAGGTGAGTAAGAAAATAACTTGTTGATATAAATTGATGTTTGTTGTTAACATACAGACTCACTTTGAGTTGATAAAATTAGATTCAGCTCAATGTAAAGATGACAAGAATTGACAATTTTCTGGTTTACTGGTACATATAAACATAAATCTATAAGAAGAGGGAAAATAAAAGTAAGAAAGAACAAGAAATAAAACCGAAAATGAGAAATAATAATAAGATTATAAAAAGAATAAAAGAAAAGAAAATATTAAATCAAATTGTTAAAGAGAAAAGAACAAAATTTTTTACCTTTTCTCCTCCATGTTGAATAGTAAAAGACAATTAAAGAGACAATTTAACACGTTCCATCTTCCAATCAAAAGTATCAATCAGTGAATAATTTATCTTCGTTCACCAAACAATTAACTAATTTTACCAGAATAACAATTGGTTTGATTTGAGGAGAGAAAATTAATTTTAATTACAAATCAACAAAAGTGAAGATTCACCGATTAACCGATTAAAAGAAAAAACCGCTGAAATTGAGAGAAGCGTTTAAATGGAACGCGGGTTTCGAATAACCGAAGTAACCGAATTCTGTTTACAATTTTTCATTTTCTTCCTTCATCATGATGATACTTCACTTCTGACTTTTGATGAAACCATCAACCACTCTCTGAATACATTGGATATTTAAATTAATCGAAATTCCATCTAAATAGTGATTGTCTTTTTCTTCTAATTGTAAACTAATTCCTTGTAAAATTGTATCAAAAATGGTAAGTTGAATCTCTTCACTTTGGTTAACTCATTCAACTTCCTCCATTAGCTTTTTTTTTCTTTCTCTTTTTCTCTTTTCTTTTTTTTTCTATTCCACCATTTTTATTAGTATTCAGATTTTCGGAATTATCGAAATTGTTTTTATTTCAACTTTTACCTTTTTTTCCCCTTTCAATTCTCTTACAGTCTACTACTGAATTTCTGAAGGGCCTCCCTGTTTATAATGCAAATAATTTTAGTCGATTTCAAGCAGACTCATTTAAATCGTCTTCTAAAAAACCTTCGGTTTATCTTCCAACGAAAGATTTTCCATCTGAACAGAGTAAGTATTTTATTCTATTTAAATTCTATTCTATTCTATTCTATTCTATTCGTACCAATCATCTTAATTGTTAATCTTCTATTCTGTCAAACAATCATTGATTTAAGGTGAAGATGGTCCTCTTAAATTTCGCTAATTGCTTAATCACTTTCTCTTCAATATCTTCTAATTTATCTTTTTGGTACTTCAATAAGCATAACTTAATTGTAATCAAATTTTATTTTCTCTTTTACTTTAGCCATTACCACAGAAGGAAGCAACATATTTTTACGATTTTTACACCAACAATGGGACAAAAGTACATCAAGAAATTTGAAAAAGCGTGATAGTAATGGCGACCAAGAAACTGGAATCACCAGGAAAAAGCTAAAGACAGAGACAAGTCCCTGTAGAACTTAATTTAGAGCCAAAATTACAACCTAATAGCAACAATAACAACAACTCATCTCTACGTTTATTAATCCACCAAAAAGGCCTACGAATAATTTTGATATAAATGTTTACGAAACAATTTTCATCTTCAGAATGGTTAATATATTATATGTGTGTGTCTGTGTATCTGTGAGAGAGCAAGAGAGAATAGATTATCTTCCAACTTTCAACATCCATGATTCCTCATGTTTCCTTTTTTCTTTTTCCCCAATGCAAAAATTTCCTTTCAAATCCCATATAACACAAACAACAATAATATTCGATTGAATGTTCCTCAATCTTTCTCTCTATCTATCTATCTCTCTCTTAACTATCAACAGCATGTTCCCTTCTAATTTAATCATAATCACTTTGAAGTTGATACAACAAAATTCTGCCTCTCTAATTGCACAAAATCATCATTTGGAAAAGCTTAATGATCTTGTTAATATGGTCAATCGTTTGTGTGTCGTTTAAATGTCGTTTAATTGTCCAAAAATGATCTTGTTTCTACTTGATTGTATATCTCACAAACAAAAGGACTGGAATTTAATTTCTTCAAAGTGATCAAAATAAAAAAAAAATCTTAATTTGATTTAATTATTTTAACCAATTTAACCCATAACATCAGCTAATCATAATTTCCCTTCACAACAATTAATCCAAATATTCACTTTACTTACTGTGTTCAATTGTTTTGTTTCCAATTTATCAGCTAATTGTAAACAATTTCAATCTTTTTGTTGATTTATTGTAATAATTATATAAGTATAAGAAAATCAAACAATCAACAAAATTAATCAACCAAATTTGAAACTTTTCAATGAAAATGACCTAATATTTAACCTATTGTTAAATTGTTTCTTATTCTTAGACTGACCTACTAAATTTCATTTAATTACCATTTAACAATTCAACCAATTTAATACAATTTATTAATTGGTTAAATCAAAAACCGCATCATAACCGTTGCAAAAGTAACTACGGAAAATGAATAACCGACTAATTGTCAATCTTTTCAATTAAAAATAATTTTGTTAACATAATCAACACCTTTTCACCTAATTAGTGCTAATTACCAACAATTAAATGTAACAAAAATATAATCATAATTATGATGATATTTTCCTAATTTGGTTTCCCTTTTCCTGATGTTAATCATTTGGAGGGAAAAGTTGATAAATTTAATTTAATTTTCTTTCGTTCATCTAAATATTTGTAATTACATTATTTTCTCAATCAATTAATCTTTTAATCAAAGTCGACGTAACAATTAAAAATATCAAACACTTTCTACATTTTTTTCATCTTTCATTGAGTCCTCACTATCTTCATCAATATCGCCAATTGATTGTCCAGTTTCTTCCTGTTGACCATTAACATCCTCATCCTCATCCTCATCCTTATCCTCATTTTCATCTTCATCATTACATGTTAATAAACCTCGAGATTTCAAAAGTAAATCAATCTCCTCCAATGGAGCTCTTAATCTGATTTCTTTTTCAACCATAATCGTAATCAAATCAGTTAGAAGATGAGGAAAAGTATCAATGGCATCGAGATAAATTATTCTTGACCAGGGACAATGTTGAACTGCCTGGTAAACAATTGATTCAGCTCTCTTGTGGTTTCCATGGGTCATATTGAATTTCAGGTAAAATCGCAAAGTAAAACAATACCTTGATTACAAGGAATGATAAACATCTTTCAAATAGACTATTTATCCGTCTAATTATACCATCGAAAGATTGGAAAGAGCCTTCGATCGAGTCTGAAAGAGAAAAACAAAAAAAAATCAGAAAAAAAGAATCAATTAACTGTTAACTTTATCCAAATGAACAATTCAACATTCAGGGTAATCAGAAACATCTCAATAACAATAATAAATCATTTCGAACTGCAATTTGCTTTTCTCATTCTAACCTATTTAAATGGGTTCCATTCAATAGATTTTCTTATGCCTCAAACTAATGAGTAAGGAAATTATGAGACCTTATTGACCTAAGGTCATCAACTGCCCTTTGGGCAGTTAAGGCCCTTAATTTTTGAAGGGGTTACGGTTGCAATTCAAATGCGTGACTTGCCTACTATTTGCAAGTTGCCTTTGATTGTTAACTTACCCCAACAATTAAAGATGAAAAGTAAATTAGCAAATGGATAAGTTGTTGTATTGTGTGAATTATGATCAGAAATAGTTGGTTAATTTGATAGTTACCTTTGATTGTTGTTAATCGTTTCAGTTCAAAGTGTAATTTAAAAATCCAAATGTTGAGACAAGATGAATTTGTTGAACGGATTAATTGGGTGAAAAATCTGTAAGTGAAAAGACAACAATTAACAATTGATTTTCTGATAAAATTTATGTAACAATTAAGTTAATTACCTGTCAACTGTTATTGAAGTGCGATATTGGTTTCAATTGTTGTGAACAATGAAAGAAATGGTTTATTATCAGGAAATAATTCTAATGCTGAACGACATGTTTGTCGCAATCGAGAGATTGATTTGATTTTTCGACGAGCATCAAATATCAACAATTGAAGGTAAATTGTGAAAATTCCAAGTAAATTACTTTGATCAACTAACCCATTCGAGAGTAAATTGTCACAACAATTAAATGCTTTGTCTGAATCGTCAACAATTAAGAGTAAAATGAGTTTAGAAAATGAAACGTCCAAATAATATTCATCTTCCTCTTGGGTCATCGTATCCAACATTTTCTTTGCTTTCAGAATTGATGGTGAGTTAATTGTTTCGATTGTTTGACCAATGGTGACACTTGTAATTATCTTAATCACTTGGGTTTCTGATTCTTTTAAATTTTCTCCAATATATGAAAGATCAGTTGAATGAAAATCTCTTGAGATACCAAGTAGAAGTTCACAATAATATCGTGTAAATGATAACAAATAGCGAGAATTATTAATCCTTCCGGTGAATAAGTTAATTGCTGTGGCGAAAATGTTAACAGCTTCTTTGGATTCATCAGATTTTTTCATCTCTAATTGTGCTAATTGAAGCCAAACATCTAAATCGTTTCGATAAATTTCCGTCTTAAGATAATCTTTGATTATCTTTTTAACTTCTTTGTACTTAATTGTTACATCAACTTGTTCAATTAGAAACTTTAACCGCCATATAATCAATTCCTTTTCCTGTTTCAATTGTCCTTTGAACTTTTCAATTGATTGAACGAAAACTTGATCTTGAAATGAAGTAAAACCATCGTAAATTGTAACTGGACGTAAATCGAAAAGACTTTTGACCGAAGAAAAAATTGGTTTATCATCGATTAGAAAATGATCATCAAGAATATCGGATGAATCAATGGAACCAAGAAATTTGTGAAAAAAGACAATCAGTTGATATTTAGTTTGATCAAGGCGAAAACGGAATAAAATTCTGGTTAAATCTTCTATGGAAACATTTCTTTCGGTGTCGTCGGCTTGATCGGCATCCGGTCCTTTAACAGGAAGCCAATAATGTCTTTCACGAAGTAGTTCAAGTTGCAACCAAAGTGCTGATTTATTGTTACTAAATTGTTCAAACAACGGCTCCTCTAGTTCATCAATTGGAAGCCTTGAAGGTCCTTGATTAATAGATTTAGTTTTGATCACATTCATCCAACCAAGAGCACCGGGTTCACCGAATCTAGAACAGCCCGAGTCCCAAAAGGGTTCAAGTAACACTTTCCATTCGGCTACAGGTTGTTCCAGGGTTAAAATTTCGGGTGTAAACAGATTAAATTCAATGAGAATTTGCCAAATTGCAATTGATTTCTCTTCATATCCAGACTGCCTCAGGCAAATAGTAAAATGATAAAGACATTTAAGTATTTCCATCTCAAGGTTCGGTGTAATTTGGTGCGTTTGGAAGGTTCCCTCTAACATTGAGGTATAAATATCGAAACATTTATAAAATGCTCGAGTTATTTTTGTAATAGAAAAATATTTAAGATGAGTTTGTAAGAAGAGGAAATAATTTTTCCAAACTAACGGTACATTCGGATGAATGAAAATTAATCGTTTCCACTCTTTGTCAAGATCAAAAGGTGTCGAGGTGAACCTCATTATCTCAAGACGCTCTAAAATAAGACGCATACATTTTGGATTAGATTCCAAAGCTTTTTCAACGATACTGAGCTTCTTTTCTGCTAAAACGATTTCACGGGATTTTCTACAATTTTCCGATGCTGACCAGATGAAACAATCTTCTTGCCATTGAAGAAATTTGAACCAACCTTCGATGTCGTTTGGATGAGATCTCAAGTGTTCATTGAATTCCTTGTTCTTGTTTTGTATTCTCTTCTCATCTGTTGACAGGGAGGAAATTTCTACATCTTTTGAGGCCGAATCTTTGGCGGGATCTTTGGCTTTTATGTAAAATGATGTTACAGAATCATGGAAATCCTTTATACTATCGCCAATATTGCGAGTTTCATTGGAAATGACCTTAAATGCTAACCCAGTTACCGGTATCATCTCGGGTAAATTAATTGTTTCTCTCTCTGTGACTGATGGGAAAGATTCAGTGTCTTCGGGTGTATCATTGATCATCTTTTGTAGTTTTGAATCGAAATATCTTTCGGTTGTACTTTGTCGACCTTCATTCAAAATTTTACGCAAAGATTTGGTCCTTAGGCACTTTTTCTTATCATATGATGAAACGTAGATTGTAAATACTGTCGAATGCTAGATTATTTCTATCTGGTCGAGTATCTTGACGAAAAGCTTTTCAGGCGGAAGTCCAACTTCTTCTAGAAACACTTTGTTACCAAAACATTGCTATTATTTTCCTCTCTAATGATGGTCGGAGATTCTGATCTGTCAGTATCTCTTTTACGACTTTCCCTATTTTTATGACCTTTTCTCTTATCTCTTGATCGACTGGAAGGCGAATCATCATCTCTTTTCCTTCGGTGTGAATGTTTTCGTCTTGTTGCACTTCTGGATCGACTTCTGGAATTACTAGAATCTCGATATTTCTTTGATTTCTTCTTCTTTTTCTTTGCTCTATCTTTCACGGTAACAATTTC